ACCAGTGAGTCCTGCATGTGCTTGGGGACCTGGCGAGGAGAGACGCAAAGAGGAATAAAATCACAGCGATGCACTTCCTCCTACGTGACTGCCCCGAGGGCTGTGCCTCGGGACTGGCAGTGTCCCTCACTGAGGCCTTGCAACCCTGGGCTGCTGGTTCAAATACCAGGGACAAGAAGTTACCGCTGTTGCCTGGAGGCAGCTTAGCAACCGACATGACCGAGGGGCATGGGGATGTGTCCAAAGCCAATGCCTGCGGGCAGGCAGGCAGGTCTTAACCAAGAGAGAGCTTTCAGGAAGCCAAAGTCTCCCTCGCAGGGGCTGAGGCACATGAGCACGGAGGGCAAGAGACAGGGGAAAAAAGCGGCAGCATCTGTGCACAGTGGTGGTCACACACATCCCCTCTCTCTAATGTCACACCCATAGCGCTCCTCACCGCCACAAGAGCCCCTTGCAAACGTGAAAGGGGAAAGGCAATCCCCCCCCTCGGCACACAGACTTCTCGAGGTCATGGGCTCAATGCGGGCCCGTGGCTTGCTGCCAGCAGGGAAGGCAGAGTCTCCTCCCCCCTGGATTAGCGGGATCCCAAAGCAGGCATCATGGCCTGGGCACAGACCCAATGCTGCCAGTCCCGAGGAGGGGCACACCACGATGAGGGGCAGAGGAGGGGGGGTTCAGAGGGAGGGTCACGCCTTGAGACAGACTTAAAGGTATGAGTGATGCTCCTGCAAGTACTGGTGGCACAGCAAATCAGGCCCAGCCTCCACGGAGAGGCTGCTGCTCAGTAGCTTTGCCACCTCCCACCTCTGATCTGTCATACAAAGAACACAAGGCAAGTCATGAAAAGCTCTGGTGGGGGGGTCCCAGCTGTGTCCAGGGAGGAGGGCTGGGATGTGAACACTCAGCAGCTCCTGTAAGTCACCCCAGCTCTCATCTTCCCTGCAAGAGGTTCAGCCCCCTTTGTGCTTTGCTGTCTGCAAATAGCACTGACAAAGGCAGAGATATTCAAAAGCAGACCAGCTTCTGATACCAGAGACGTCCAAGAGGGCCTAGGATCCATCTCCTCGTGGCACTGAGAGCCCCAGCTAGAAACCATAACCCTCCAGGGACTGCAGACAACATATCCCCCAGTCCTGGACTACAAGACCAGGAGCTCAGCCTGATCAAACCCAAGCCAACTGCAGTTTGACCAAGGATTTAAACGGAGCAGAGGCAATTCAGACCTGGAAAGGACTGACTTGTGCAACCTCATCTTCCTGCCTGTGGATTCCGACTGTGCCAGCCTGAAACACAGGCAGCACTCCTCATGGGAATTCCTCCATGCTAGACCAAGAACACGAGACCTTCTTCCTAACCACGTGGCATGTACTTACTGCAAGCAGAGGAGCAAGATTTGTTACTGTAGGAGCCCCGGTGAAGATGCAGCAGCACAACAGCCCTCAGTCATTGCCAAACAATGGAAAGCAGGATGTGTACCCAAGAGATAAAACTACCTGTAACTAAAGCAAACAGATTCTAATGCCTGTGTTCTTTCTTTAAAAACTTCCCTTCTTTTGCCTGGTTTATGTTCCAGGAAATCATTTCTCACTGCTAAAACTGCCACAGCTCCATCCTAGAGACGGAGGAACTGACTGATGGTAGGGCCAATGCCCTCCACACTGACAGTCCCTCCAGCACAGCTCTAAAGTCATTTTCTCAACAGCAAGTTAACACAGTCTGTTATAAACATTCAGCATAGTCGCCGGGCTGATGTTCAAGCATTCAGCCCTTAGAGGAGGGAGTAGGTTTTCGGGAGAGGTCTTATTCAGGCAGCCAAATCTGTGGGCAGATCCTTTTGGGACCTCAGCAGCTTGGGTGCTTCAAAATCCAGCACAGTGTAACATGCCCACAAGCAGCATCTGCCTTTGGGGACTCTGCTACACAGCCCCCCCCACCCTGTCAGATGCTGAGTAGCGTCTAAGAGCATCCTTCAAGAAAGGCAGACCTGGCAGTCACACCGCACCAAACCCATCATCCCATCCCGTCCCACAGCTGCAGATTTCACCTTGTCCATTTGAGTCACAGGGGAGTAGGTTTCCTTGGCTGAGTTCTCCTTTCACTAGCCATACGCAAAGGTCCATGGCGGGGACCAGACCGAAAGCCTCAGACCCGAGCTGCACATTCACAGAGTACTCCAGGGGCTTAAACTCCAATCTTTGATGATGACAGCACCAACACCATTGCTATAATGAAGAAAAACCAGTAATTTACCAACCTTGCCCTCTAATATCCTTCTTGATAACAAAGAAGGCAGATGAATGAGAGATTAGTCACTAATCACCCCATGAAAATGAAACTCTGAAAGCTGGACACTGTGTCCCCTTTGTGTGGCTGTGCACAGAGGGACAGATGGGAAGCAAGCGTAAACAGAAAGTTTGGACTTTCCTGATGAAGAGGTCCAGCTTTTTTTTTTTTTCCTGTTTTTCTTTCTGTCTTTTTTATAGCGGGATATTTTCTTTCAGTGATGACAGGCCCAATTTCCCCAAATTGACATCCATCCTAGTTTTGTACCTCCACGTCCCACTTCCTCTGGCACTTACCCAGAGATAACCGCGGGGATGGGCCAATGTTGTTCTGAGGACAAATGTTTGCAAAGCACTTTCGGAGGATGTGCAGTACCATAGCAAGGCTAAAGTCCAGTCCCTGGTGCAATACAAAGACTTCTAGGATCTCCATCTCTGCCTTCAAGAACAGCGGTGATCCATCGTGTGGAGCTCCGCTCTCCTGTAACAGCCTCTGCTGCCACAAGGTGCTCCAAAGGCAAAAGTTTGTTCTGTGGGGCTTTACTCATGTAAAGCACAAATAAATGTTTCCTTTGGCAGCGAGTGTGCTGCAATATGTGGGAGCGCGGCGAGAACTGTGTTCCCTCTGGACTCAGCAGCAAGCTGTAACTCCGCTCACCAGCTGAGCTCAGTAAAACACTGGATGATGGGTGGGCGCTCTGCCGTCCCACAAAGCAGCAAGCGCTGCTCTGTCCATCTGCAAATATGTGTGGAAGGAGCAGAACTAAGCGTGTCATTAGGGACCAGTCCCACAATACAAGAAATAACAAATTCTGTGGAGCAGGAACCACGTCTAGCTCAGCCTTGGTGGTCTAAGACATAAGGCTCCCAACAACATTGCTGAGATGAGAAGACTGCTTTCTGTGGAGAAGGCCATGAGGAATTCAGAGAAGATTACTGTATTTGAAAAAAAATCTCCTCCCTTACTAGGAGTGGTGTGACAGTCTAGAAATCTTGTTTTCTTCCCTGGTGTAGAAGGGAGAGTGTTCAACCAAAAAAGCAGAGCAGGACTGAGTCAGGACTTCACCATACCTTGCTTTGACACTGATGCAGGCACAAATCTTTGGACTTCACTTTGCCATGGCTCCACTCCTCCACCCCCATGACACGGGGTCGTTCAGGCTGGCTTCCCAGATAACACCCATCGCCGCAGGGTAGCTAAGCTCAGAGCAGAAGTTGCCTCTCTCTGGAGCAGCTTGCAAGATTTAATTGATGCCTGTTTGTAAAGCTGCTATTCAAAGAAAATGTGCTCAAGTCAAACCAATTGCTGTTGTTACTTAGCTTGTTGTGAAAGTGCTTCACAGGTAGGGGCCTTCCAACCTGCGCGCTGAGCAAACAGGTCGCATTTCCTCTGCTCCTCCAGCAACCCACTGGAACGGCAGACAAGGGTCCTCCCTTAGAAGTCCCAAGCCACAGCTGAGTTCTCGCTGCAGCTCTCAAGCGCTCCTTGGATATTTATTTAACGACTGACTAAGGATTGATGCTTTAAAAGCCTCCTGAGAACAGCGTAAAGCTGCAGTCACTGAGAGGGGAGAGGCATTCTCCTTCATGTATCCTGTCTCCTGCAGCAGTTCAAGGGTTCTCTCTCCACCCAGCCCTAGCCGTGGCTGGAGCTGCCACTCATTCGGAGGCGCTTTCTCTGCCAAGACTCTCACTTCAGGGTTTCTGAGGCTCAGAGGATTTGCATGCTTTCGCTTAACCCTCCTGCGTACAGTGAGGAAGCCGCAGCTCCACCAGACTCGCTGCTCGCAAGCTGAGTTTGTCTTGAAGCGACATCGCCTGTGCCCAGAACAAAACTTTTCCCCTGTCCTCCAAGGACTTCTGAGCATGACCTCCTCAAAGAGGAGTCAAAAACTTGCTAGCTTATCTTTTTTCCCTGCCCAGAGCATCCACCCAGAGCTTCTCACTTGGTTTGTTGCCCTTCTTGCACCTTTTCTCCCCCCTTGCCCTTGCCAGTCTCCATATTTCTTCAGTCTCTGCTCTGTTCTTTGCTGCTATTACCATTCCCCTCACGATTTTTTTCTTTCCCGGTGAAGTACATGCTGCTGCTGCCTA